CCACAGCAGCTACTGTCTCTCACTAAAACTCATTATTATATGTTTTTCCCGTATCACAAAACAGAGTAATGCATCACAACTTTAAATCACCTTTATGTTATACCATGTGACTGAGGAAAGTTTCTTGTAATTAAGGAAAGTTTCAGATGTCATTTCTTAAACCAGATCTAATAAATGAAATGATATAATATCTCTGTCTATGTCACCTTCTTGAATGTGTTAATGAAAGTGAATGACAATGATGAATATATAATGACAAACGGATAGTAGGTATCATTTATCTTCTCACAGTTACAAGAATTATTATCCATAAATAAAAGAGAAAAACGAAAAAACTTGAAAAAAAGGTAAAACGGGGTCAGACGGAGAGGGTGGGGGGGGAGTCTTACGGTGGGGGGTCAGACGTAGAGGGGGCACTGGATACAAAGCCTCAATACACAAACGGACAATGTGGCCGGCACTACAGTACACTTAACTGAATTAATCCTATTCATCCAATTAATTGTCAGGTACCAGTTCACAGCTGGGTCAAGTGTGAGTATCCCCCCGAGCGATAACAAGGACCTAAGTGTATAAGACAGGAAGGGGGAGTACTGTACCCACACACACACACACACACCTATACAGAACACCTGTCCACACTTAGCGCGACACCTGGAATGAAGGAGAGTGGGACGGTATTGATCGCCCGACAGCCTCCATTAATGTATCATCTTGGGGCGATAGTAATAAAAGCACAGGTACATAACACCTCTAATTAATTCTACCCAAAGGTAAAAAAAAAATACATGTATACAAATTAAAGTATGTTTCCTTCCTCACTCTTGTGTTTACGATCATGAGACCAAAAACAAATAATAATGAAATTTTTCCAGAGGTGAAGGATCTTAGTGACTAGTTAAGCCATTGGTCAATTTATACTCCACTCCGATCTTCACCAAATGTTGAGACGTGAAGGAACGTAACCAAGTGTATCAGGCAATAATCTGAATAAAATCGAAATAGTTTATGTCATATTACGGAAATCGGTTCAGATCAACGACTACCTATCTTAGCATTACTAGAAAGAGGGAGGGAGAGAGGGAGGCAGGGAGAGAGGGAGGGAGGGAGAGAGGGGGGGAGGAGTAATCGAGAGGGAGAGAGGGGGGGAGAGGAGTAACGGAGAGGGGGGAGGGAGAGGGGGAGTATTTCGCCAAGGTAACATGCCTAACAGAACGCTGAGTTTGTTTCGATAAATGCCTGTCTCTCTCTCCTCTTCTTGTCAAAATATTCAACTCACTGGAAATTTAACCAATCTGAAAACGGTTTAATTTATTAATATACTTATTGAGATTATTATTATTATTATTATTATTATTATTATTATTATTATTATTATTATTATTATTATTATTATTATTATTATGTTTGTCTTTATAAATTCGTTTCTCTATTTATCTATCTATCAATCCGGTCATCCATCCCTTCATCTATCTATCTAGCCACTCTTCTCTCTTTCTCCTGCACCTCAACTTACACATTTCAACTCTTCAACAATTCGGTTCAATAATCAAGGGGAGTGAAGGGGAACTATTTTATCATAGATGACTCCTAGGGTTTAACAGGTGAAGGAAGTGATTACCTGAGATGTTACACCTGTATGTTATTATTACCTGGAGGAGACAATGCAGAGATGTTTAGGAGTGTGTGTGTGTGTGTGTGTGTGTGTGTGTGTGTGTGTGTGTGTGTGTGTGTTTGGTGAGAGGGAGAGGGGGAAAGAGAAATGAGGAGAGACATAGACAGACATGAGTAAGAAAGAGGTAAAGAAAGGGTAGAGGGACAGAGAGGCGACAAAGAGACAGAGAGACGGAGAGAGATATAGTAGAGACAGACAGACACACAGACAAACAAGAGATTGGCCAACAGCACCAGGTTCAGCTTGACTTCACCTTTCTCAATACCAGCATTAATTACACTCGTGATCTTCCTCTCTCTAAGACAGCCAGAGGAGGTGACCAGTTGTGCCTCTTGGTTCAATAAACAACAGCAACACGAAAACACTGTATCATGCTTTAACTTTCCCTTTATAATGTGAACTGAGATAAGATAACAACGAGGGGTACAAAGGCCCATTGATACCCCAGTGTTATTCTTCTGATATGTGTTATAGAGGCAAAAACCCAGGAAGAAAATAAACAGAAAAAAAAGGTTAATAAACACAAAGAGAAGATAGAGGGAAGAATATTCTCTCTATGTCAATAATTCAATACCTCAAGAGTGACACATAACACAACAAACTGTATAATACTAAGTGGATATTTCTTTCTTTTTTCATATCAACGTGAAAGATTTTAAACTCTTAAGAAGATTATATGGTCCAGTAACACCTCTCTCTCTCTCTCTCTCTCTCTCTCTCTCTCTCTCTCTCTCTTACGTCTTCAGCACTACATAATTTTAACTCACATACGGTCACTCACTAATGGAGAGAGAGAGAGAGAGATAAGGTTTTTTTTTCTCTCACTGACTCACTGACACACGATTTTTAGCTCATTCTATACACTTAACTGACTCGATTAGATTAAACTGAATTAAAGTCAACTCGATTCAGGTGACCAGGACCTCTATACCTATGACCTTGTTACTGATTAGAGTGGGTGTCAGTCAGTCACTCAGTCATCTACCCAACGTATGAACAAATTTGTACTTGTCATATAATAAACCCCCGTGATGGTAACGGTGTCCCATAACAATGGCGGCACTACAACACCTCCCACCTGCTATTAGCGACCTCCAGCAACACTAACACCCCCACCACAACACCAACAGGAGGAAGGGAGGGAGGAAACATACACCGCCACCTACAGTATATATAAGAGCTCCGTCACTCCCATCATCAGTCTACAGCTCCCCAGCCTAGAGGAAACAACTCCCGAGGTGACTTATGAACTTTTCCTTCCACTGTCACCAATCTTAAATCTGTTTGAGACTTGATCTGTTGACGGTGTTCAACTGACCTGGGCGTTGTGTATATCGGTGTAAGATGGTACTACAATTATTACAACTAAAGTCAATAATTTAAAGTTAAGACAAATTAAAGTTACCTCCATAATAATTGTGATCTTGTTCTAACATTAACCTTAATTTAGTGTAGGAAAAAAATTCTTAAGGGAGCGGCGACGGAGTGTGTTATTTACTTTACAGTTTGGAAAGTGAAGTCGGTTAAGTGCAGTGACGACAACAGTGCCTCTCTTAACGAATCGTCGGCCCTACAGGACACATTATCAAATAAATGTCATAAGCTTATGTAAACTCTAAAGTTATTATCATTTCTTTCACCAAGTTACCTCATAGGACATGCTCTAGTGGTGACAGCATTCAGTGACCTACAGTACAATATATCATTTAACACACACAAGGGAAACTGTCCATACCAGTTACGAGGAAAGTTTTAGTAAGATTTTTTTCTTTCCATAGATGATGTCTTCCAATGTGGTGTTGGTGGTGGTGGTGGTGTTGGCTGTGGTGGCGGCGGTGGTGGCTGAGCCCAGCTACCCTAAACCACAACCCTGCTACCCCAAGACCCAGTACGTCACCCACTACCAGACGCAGTACCAACAGGTAGGTACTGGGACAGGTGTAAAGGAAATTACTGTAACCAAACAGAAAGTGCATCTCAGATACAGAGAAAAATACAACCAATTTGTCAAGTTAAGATATATGGACTAAAGATTTGATTACCTGTTCTTATAAAACTAATTAACTTTGACCTCACTACAGGTGCCAGTGTACACAACTGTCTACAAACAGCAGATCGTCCCCACCACCCTCTACAAAACCCAGTACCAAACTCACTACCAGACCAAGTACCAGACCAAATACGTTCCCGAATACGTTACCGAGACCGTCTACAAGACCGAGGTCCAGTACGTAACTCAGGTCAAGACCCAATACCAGACCCAATACCAAACCCAATACGTCACCACAACCCAGTATGTCCCTCAGTACATTACTGAGACCCAATACCAGACCCATTATGTGACCCAGACCCAGTACCAGACCGTGTACAAGACCCAGTACACGCCCAAGTACGTTACCACGACCCAAGTACAGTACCAGACCCAGTACCAGACCAAAGTGGTCCCTCAGTACGTGACGGTCACCCAAACCCAGCAGACCTACAAGACCGTCTGTCCCAAGCCTTCTTATGGTCACTGAAGATGAAGACAACAACAACTGATCGGGAGATGCCTCGACAGCAGCTACTGTCTCTCTCACTAAGTCACCTCAGATATGTTCCTACACTCTCCTTACTCTTAACATGTCTCTCTCACTTAGTCACCTCAGATATGTTCCTACACTCTCCATACTCTTAACATGTCTCTCTCACTAAGTCACCTCAGATATGTTCCTACACTCTCCATACTCGTAACATGTCTCACTCACTAAGTCACCTCAGATATGTTCCTACACTCTCCATACTCTTAACATGTCTCTCTCACTAAGTCACCTCAGATATGTTCCTACACTCTCCATACTCTTAACATGTCTCACTCACTAAGTCACCTCAGATATGTTCCTACACTCTCCATACCCTTAACATGTTGTCATAAATGATAAACACAAGTCTGCTGATTAAGTAATGTTTAAACTGACATTTCTTAAACCAAAGAAATAAATCATATACACAGAATATATTGTTTACTTTATCGACTTTGTTTTAATGAATCTAAAATAACAACAAATATAAAAAACAGGAAAAAGATGAAACAAAAATGACAACCGAAAAATAATAATCTCAAGACATTCATGAAAAGGAAGATGTAAGAGAGATAATGATTATGTGTTTCACTGTTAGTTATTATGTGATAATACTGACCCCTCATGGCCTAGTCTGTCTCCACCTGAAGTGTATTAATTGGCTCCTCTTGTATGGTTACCTGGTTATGACATACTGGTCCTCACCTGACATACGGCCTTTATGAAACCTTATAAAACACTAGTCGGCCTTGGTGTACAATATTCAATGAAGGTTTTTTTGGGGGTCAATATTGGATAAAAACCAAATTAAAAATCACCGAAGAAATTAGGCTTTAGTTTCCCTTCGTCTACAATTCCAAAACTTATCGTCCTAGAGTCAGAAATATTGTTAAAGTTGTGGATTTTAATACGATGTTTATTGATACTTGAGAGCCACAAGTAACTAACTTTATCCAGTGACCACTATACTAGCCACAGTCTTACTGTAGTGATCACCTGGTTATAACGACCACCTTACAACACTATCACCTGATCACCTGGTTATAAACACTATCACCTGATCACCTGGATATAACGACCACCTTACAACACCATCACCTGATCACCTGGTTATAACGACCGCCTTACAACACTATCACCTGATCACCTGGATATAACGACCACCGTACAACACTATCACCTGATCACCTGGTTATAACGATCACCGTACAACACTATCACCTGATCACCTGGTTATAACGACCACCTTAAAACAAACTCACCTTATATCAACCAGGTAAAAAGTATTATTATGTTAAACCCACAAGTCTTATACAACGCTGTTGAGCTTCATAATATACTACAGTACAATGTCTTCATCTCTTTAGACTAAATATTAATCTAAGCAAGACGAGAATACATTAATCTATCAATCCGGTGTACTGTGTGTGAGGGTAGGTCTACACCACGACCCTCCACTACTAAACAAGTAAACCTTATAGAGAAATATTTCCCCCAATCCTTCCAAACTTTGCACAAATTATTCATCCTAACACCAAAATAGTTCATTACACATACACACACGAGGGAAGGTAGTTGGGTAGTTGGGTTGTTTTCATTATTCCGTCACCGTTGACAGCCAAGACAACCCCCCCCCCTACTGTGACTAGCAGTTCTTATTGGTTCAGTGTTCCCGGGCTATGGTCTTATTGGCTAGATGACTCAACAGTTCCAATATTTACCAAGAGATGGAGCAGCCATCCAGTTTCTGACACTACAACACTGCCGACCACAACCACCACCACCACCTGACGCGATGTTACTATTATTATTATTACTATTATTAGCAGTAGTAGTAGTAGTAGTAGTAGTAGTAGTAGTAGTAGTAGTAGTAGTAGTAGAAGTAGTAGTAGTAGTAGCACTTCTTGCACTTCCATCAAGACTGGGAGGGATGGGACTAACCAATCCAGAGGAGATTGCAGCCACCGAACATCAAAATTCACTTAAGCTCACGGCAGCCCTCACGGACCACATAATAGCCCAGAACGCAACAGGGGAGGTCGATACCACTGAAGTAAACGAGATTCGTAGGTCCATTACGACAGATCGACAGCACTGCCAAAATGATAAGTTGCAGCAACTGTTGCTGCAGGTTCCAGAAAATTGAAAAAAAAGTAGCTATAGCGCAGGAGGTGGGCGCCTCGAGCTGGTTAACTACGTTACCGATAAGGGCAAATGGTTTCAGTCTTAACAAAGAAGAATTTACAGTTGCCATTGCTCTAAGGTACGGTCGGCCAGTAGAAGGTTTGCCCTCCCAATGCGTGTGTGGCTCTTCCTATGACGGCGATCACGCCATGGTGTGCAAGAAAGGGGGCTTCATATGCATGAGGCATGACGAAGTAAGGGACCTTACAGCAAATATGTTGAAGGAAATCTGCCGGGATGTCATGGTAGAACCGACCCTCCTTCCATTGGATGGTGAGATCTTCCAACATAGGACTTCAAACACATCTAACGAAGCCCATGTTGACGTCAGTGCTCGAGGATTCTTGTCGCGGGGATAGCGAGCTTTCTTCGACATCAGGATTTTTGATCCCATGGCCGCATGTCACCGGAACCTAGCTCTCGATGCTGCACATAGGAGGAACGAGAACGACAAGATAAGGGCATATGGGGAAAGGATCCAAAACGTTGATCAAGGCAGCTTCACTCCTCTAGTGTTCACAACCTCTGGTGGGATGGGACCAAGTGCAAGAGGTTTCTACGCCAGACTCGCGGAGGTGATCTCCGAACAGAAGAAGCAGCCCAGAAGCTTCGTTACAGCCTGGATGTGATGTCGACTGTCTTTCTCTCTCCTTCGGTCGGCTTTGCTCTGCCTCAGGGGAACGAGAGCTTCTGCCCCATTTCCGACAACTGCTGTAGATATCGACTATGAGGCTACTGTCACTGAATGCCGCATAGATCTGCGGCTCAACTAATTTAACACAGATAGGATAGCTACATATGTATTAGGATATTTAATATTAAGGTAATTAAATGGTGGCGAAGGTGTGGCGTTAACAAAAAAAAAAAAAAGTAGTAGTAGAAATATTGTTGTTATGTCAGCCACTCACGATAGCCGGATCTTTCACTAGTATCTTGTCTCACGATAGCCAGATCTTCACTAGTATCTTGTCTCACCATAGCCGGATCTTCACTAGTATTTTGTCTCACCATAGCCGGATCTTCACTTGTATTTTGTCTCACCATAGCCGGATCTTCACTAGTATTTTGTCTCACGATAGCCGGATCTTCACTAGTATCTTGTCTCACCATAGCCAGATCTTCTCTAGTATTTTGTCTCACCATAGCCGGATCTTCACTAGTATTTTGTCTCACCATAGCCAGATCTTCACTAGTATCTTGTATCACCATAGCCGGATCTTCACTAGTATCTTGTCTCACCATAGCCAGATCTTCACTAGTATCTTGTCTCACCATAGCCAGATCTTCTCTAGTATTTTGTCTCACCATAGCCAGATCTTCTCTAGTATTTTGTCTCACCATAGCCGGATCTTCACTAGTATCTTGTCTCACCATAGCCAGATCTTCACTAGTATTTTGTCTCACCATAGCCAGATCTTCTCTAGTATTTTGTCTCACCATAGCCAGATCTTCACTAGTATCTTGTCTCACCATAGCCAGATCTTCACTAGTATCTTGTCTCACCATAGCCAGATCTTCACTAGTATCTTGTCTCACCATAGCCAGATCTTCACTAGTATTTTGTCTCACCATAGCCAGATCTTCTCTAGTATTTTGTCTCACCATAGCCGGATTCACTAGTATTTTGTCTCACCATAGCCGGAGCTTCACTAGTATCTTGTCTCACCATAGCCAGATTCACTAGTATCTTGTCTCACCATAGCCAGATCTTCACTAGTATCTTGTCTCACCATAGCCGGATCTTCACTTCAGTATCTTGTCTCACTACAGCCGGATCTTCATCAGTATCTTGTCTCACCATAGCTGATCTTCACTAGTATCTTGTCTCACCACAGCTGTGATCTTCAATAGTATCTTGTATCACCCATAGCCAGATCTTCACTAGTATCTTGTCTCACCATAGCCGGATCTTCAATAGTATCTTGTCTCACCATAGCCAGATCTTCACAGTATGGTATCACCATAGCCAGATCTTCACTAGTATCTTGTCTCACCATAGCCGGATCTTCACTAGTATCTTGTCTCACCATAGCCGGATCTTCACTAGTATCTTGTCTACCATAGCCAGATCTTCACAGTATCTTGTCTCAATTACAGCCAGATCTTCACTAGCATTTCGTCTTACCATAGCCAGAGTCTTCACAAGCATTCGTCTCTTACCATAGCCGATCTTCACTAGTATCTTGTCTCACCATAGCCGGATCTTCACTAGTATCTTGTCTTACCATAGCCAGATCTTCACAAGTATCTTGTCTCACCATAGCCAGATCTTCACTAGTATCTTGTCTTACCATAGCCAGATCTTCACAAGTATCTTGTCTCACCATAGCCGGATCTTCACTAGTATCTTGTCTCACCATAGCCAGATCTTCACTAGTATCTTGTCTCACCATAGCCGGATCTTCACTAGTATCTTGTCTCACCATAGCCGGATCTTCACTAGTATCTTGTCTCACCATAGCCAGATCTTCACTAGTATCTTGTCTCACCATAGCCAGATCTTCACTAGTATCTTGTCTCACCATAGCCGGATCTTCACTAGTATCTTGTCTCACCATAGCCGGATCTTCACTATAAACTTGTTCCTACACAGAGTTTGTCATCATCGAGGGAAAGTTTAACATTCTTGGTCTGTATGTTTGTCTCTCTTATGATCGTCACTGAATATATTACCTCCTCGATATAGTCTTTTGTGGTGGTGTAATGTGTCTCAAATATTTCTCACTTGTGATGTAATATTCCTCAAGACAACGGTGCTCTTGGATAATTTACATTCTATCCCGTGATGAAGGACAACACTCTGAAGTACCTCCTCAGTCCCTAGTGACCTTCGGCAGCAGTGTGACAACCCCTTCCTCCTCCCTCCTCCGTCAGAGCACCTACAGGAGGGACAGCCCCCACCACCTCCACCACCTATAAATAAGAGCATCGTCTCCCTCATCGTCAGTCTGCTGCTCCCTACCGTAGAGGAAACAACTCCCGAGGTGAACTATGAACATCATATCATTCTCTTACACCAAACCTACAGCCGATGTGAAGCGATAAACATAAACTATTCTGATAAAACAAATTTCATATATTGAAAAAAAAAACCCAAGTATTTCTGGAGTACATTTACAACATTTCTGATTAAAACACAACATCCAAAATTATTTCACCACTTGTAAGGGTTGAATTACTGCACACCTTTAGTAACATGTAAACTATCCTTGTCAACAAGACCTCACCTGTTATTAGGGAGAATATAAGTTAATCTTGTTAAATATCATGATTAATTAATAAACGTAAGTCATCATAACTCCCACATGAAGACTAACAACATTATAATGAAGAATTTAATATTTCATCACATGATTTAAATCTTCATCTGAAAGGTTAATCTGTTGCCAAACTACTAACATAAATCTCTCTATATATTCTTGAGTAAATGTAGGTTAATATTATTTTCTATTTCCAGATGATGTCTTCCAGTGTGGTGGTGATGATCGTGGTGGTGGTGTTGACTGTGGTGGCGGCGGTGGTGGCTGAGCCCAGCTACCCTAAACCACAACCCTGCTACCCCAAGACCGAGTACGTCACCCACTACCAGACGCAGTACCAACAGGTAGGTACTGGGACAGGTGTAAAGGAAATTACTGTAACCAAACAGAAAGTTCAGCTCAGATACAGAGAAAAATATAACCAATTTGTCAAGTTAAGATATATGGACTAAAAATTTGATTACCTGTTCTTATAAAACTAATTAACTTTGACCTCACTACAGGTGCCAGTGTACACAACTGTCTACAAACAGCAGATCGTCCCCACCACCCTCTACAAAACCCAGTACCAAACTCACTACCAGACCAAGTACCAGACCAAATACGTTCCCGAATACGTTACCGAGACCGTCTACAAGACCGAGGTTCAGTACGTGACTCAGGTCAAGACCCAATACCAGACCCAATACCAAACCCAATACGTCACCACAACCCAGTATGTCCCTCAGTACATTACTGAGACCCAATACAAGACCCATTATGTGACCCAGACCCAGTACCAGACCGTGTACAAGACCCAGTACACGCCCAAGTACGTTACCACGACCCAAGTACAATACCAGACCCAGTACCAGACCCAAGTGGTCCCTCAGTACGTGACGGTCACCGAAACCCAGCAGACCTACAAGACCGTCTGTCCCAAGCCTTCTTATGGTCACTGAAGATGAAGACAACAACAACTCTCACCAAGTCACCTCATCTATGTTCATACTCTCTCCTCAACAGCTACTGTGACGAAAAAGAAGTTACCAGTTAATTACTCTACACACGAGGCCTATAACCCACTTGTGATAAATAACTGATAACTCGAGTGATATTTTTATACGAGTTTGAAAAAGATTAGGTAATAAATGTTAAAAATTATTGTAATTGATTTAGCATTTTTCCTGTTGCATTACCTGATTGGTTTAAGTTATATGATCCTGAAAGATATAAAGAAGACTTCAGCAACAGCAGCAACAGTAGTAGTAGTAGCAATAGTAATAGTAGCAGCAACAGTAATAGTAGCAGCAACACTAATAATAACAACAGCAGTAATAGTAGCAGCAACAGTAATAGTAGCAACAACAGTTATAGTAGCAACAACAGTAATAGTAGCAACAACAGTAATAGTAGCAACAACAGTTATAGCAGCAACAACAGCAATAGTAGTAACAACAGTAATAGTAGCAGCAACAGGAATAGTAGCAACAACAGTTATAGCAGCAACAACAGTAATAGTAGCAATAACAGTAATAGTATCAACAACAGTAATAGTAGTATCAACAACAGTAATAGTAGAAGCAACAAATAAGTTATAGGAGCAAACAACAGTAATAGAAAGAAAGCAATAACAGTAATAGCATCAACAGTAATAGTAGTATCAACAACAGAAATAGCATCAACAACAGTAATAGTAGCAACAACAGTAATAGCATCAACACCAGTAGTAGTATCACCAACAGTAATATATCAACAGTAGTAGCAGAAAGCAACAACAGTAATAGTAGCAGCACCAGTAATAGTATCAACAGTTATAGGAGCATCAACAGTAATAGTAGCAACAACAGTAATAGTAGCAGCACCAGTAATAGCAGTAGCAACAGTAATAGTAGCAACAACAGTTATAGGAGCAACAACAGTAATAGTAGTAACAACAGTAATAGTAGCAGCAACAGGAATAGTAGCAACAACAGTTATAGGAGCAACAAAAGTAATAGTAGCAATAACAGTAATAGTATCAACAACAGTAATAGTAGTATCAACAACAGAAATAGTATCAACAACAGTAATAGTAGCAACAACAGTAATAGTATCAACACCAGTAATAGTATCAACAACAGTAATAGTATCAACAACAGTAGTAGTAGCAATAACAGTAATTGTATCAACAACAGTAATAGTATCAACAACAGTAATAGTATCAACAACAGTAATAGTATCAACAACAGTAATAATAACAACAACAGAAATAGTAGCAATAACAGTAATAGTATCAACAACAGTAATAGTATCAACAACAGTAATAGTATCAACAACAGTAATAGTATCAACAACAGTAATAGTAGCAACAACAGTAATAGTAGCAACAACAGTAAAAGTAGCAAAGTACTAACAGTATCAACAACAGTAATGGTATCAACAACAGTAATAGTATCAACAACAGTAATAGTATCAACAACAGTAATAGTAGCAACAACAGTAAAAGTAGCAAAGTACTAATAGTATCAACAACAGTAATAGTATCAACAACAGTAATAGTATCACCAACAGTAATAGTATCAACGACAGTAATAGTATCAACAATAGTAATAGTAGCAACAACAGTAATAGTAGCAAAACAGTAATAGTATCAACAACAGTAATAGTATCAACAACAGTAATAGTAGCAACAACAGTAATAGTATCAACAACAGTAATAGTATCAACAACAGTAATAGTATCAACAACAGTAATAGTAGCAACAACAGTAAAAGTAGCAAAAGTACTATTAGTATCAACAACAGTAATAGTATCAACAACAGTAATAGTATCAACAACAGTAATAGTAGCAACAACAGTAAAAGTAGCAAAAGCACTATTAGTATCAACAACAGTAATAGTAGTAACAACAGTAATAGTATCAACAACAGTAATAGTAGCAACAACAGTAAAAGTAGCAAAAGTACTAATAGTATCAACAACAGTAATGGTATCAACAACAGTAATAATAGCAACACCAGTAATAGTATCGCCAAAAGTAATAATAGCAACACCAGTAATAGTAGCAACAACAGTAATAGTAGCAACAACAGTAAAAGTAGCAAAAGCACTATTAGTATCAACAACAGTAATAGTAGTAACAACAGTAATAGTATCAACAACAGTAATAGTAGCAACAACAGTAAAAGTAGCAAAAGTACTAATAGTATCAACAACAGTAATGGTATCAACAACAGTAATAATAGCAACACCAGTAATAGTATCGCCAAAAGTAATAATAGCAACACCAGTAATAGTAGCAACAACAGTAATAGTAGCAACAACAGTAATGGAAGCGATAACAGCAACAATATAATAGTAGTAAAAAAAACAGCAGCAGCAGCAATAATAATAATAATAATAATAATAATAATAATAATAATAATAATAATAATAATAATAATAATAATAATTAACTCATTCCAGTTATATAAAAATCAGATATTTGTATAATTAATGGACTTACTGAAAGACATTTAAAGAGTCAGCCAATGTGAGCCGCGTTCGTAAACACCTATAGTAAGTGTGTTAATTATATAAGAGGAATAAATCTGAACAATAATTGAACTTTCCAAACTGATAAACAACTAATTATCAATAAATATAATAAAATTAAATATAATAAGTTCGTCATAACTAGGCGCTTTAAATCGTTCAAATACTAAATTAACGGCGATTTTTACACTCATTTTACGCTCACTTCTTCTTAAAAAAACAAAACCAATTATATTCCTTAGCATAATCTGAATATTTTAATCCTTAATATGTCTAGCCATTAAATACAAGCTTTATTAAACTTTCAAAATAAGGAAGGTAGTTGACCGCATTCTTCAACTCGCTTTGGTAGGACGCTGTGCAGAATTGTATTTCTTTAATCGTATTCTAGGACTTCTGGACGTATTTATTCCTTCTCAAAATTATAGATAAATATTCTTCTTTAAATTGGTTGCAGTGAAAACATTTGCTAAAGTATTAACAGTAGGAATTTTAGTAGTTAAATAAGTATCCCTGGCACACATTATTACCTCCCTGTCTGAGCAATTATATTATTCTTAATTTATAATTTTCTTCTACTTTCATATACTAAAAACAATACTTATAGATGAAAAGGCGGTTAATTATTATTTCAAATAGATCGCTATAATTAATTATTGAAATACAATTAATAAATTATGTAGCATTATTTATGGAGTACATATTATTATTATCATTATCATTACTAATTACATAATTATATGGACTTACTATACTAACTGCTGAATTAAAATATGTAAACAAAATTCTACTCACCAGAGCCGAGTGACGTCATAGCGTGGTGATGTCAGCGCCGAGTGACGTCATAGCGTGGTGATGTCAACGCCTCCCTTACACATCTCAAATTATACTCAATTATTTAAGTAAATAACTGAAGAAAACACTTAGAACAATTTAGATATGTTTATTTTCGTTTACGGTCGTTATCCATTGTGTGTGAGGTTATTTAAAAATTTAAAAAGACGAGAAGAATGGAACGCGTCACTTGAACTGCCAGTTTGCGAAGACATTGAATTTCACTGATTTAAATAGTTATATGATCTTCTGGACGTTTAAATTCCTTCTCAAAATTGTCTATTCAATTTCATTTTCCAAATTATTACACTAAAGAAGCCACCGAAGCCATTACAGTGCCAGTGTCTAGATATAAGTCACAGTCACTCGCGGACACTCCTCACCTGACACCTCTGGAGGGAACTCTGCTCAGGTGATCCACTTTCTTCATAAAAAAAATCTTATATAATTCCTAATACTGTATATTTCTTCCTGCCATCTATATACAACATAAAACATAAGATAAAATTTATAAGAACTTTTATATTAGGAAATTAATCGTTAAAGGTAATAATTTTGTTGTATATTATAAATTTGATTAATAATTTTGTACTGTATGAACATCTTTCGAAAGTCACGGGAGGGTATTATTATTATTATGTGTCAGAGGAAACACACAAAGGCTGGGGCCCTTGATGATCTCCTATGTGAAGCAAGAACACTGCAGGAGAGACTAAAAATTACGGGTGATGGAAAGCAAAACACCGATGACGTGGCCAGAAAATTTGGAAACAAAATGCGTGTGGGAAAAGTGTCTCTCGCGGTAAGATCTCTCACAGAGGAATCCTCCGGTGGGGTGATGCCAATAAACAGAGAGACATTAAAACTATTGAAAGAGAAACATCCCCCTGCAAGCGAAGACGAAGGCATCAGGTTCCAGGGTGACTATATCCCACCAAATGCTGTCCTGTTCGAGAAAATAACAGGAGAGATGGTGTGGAAAAAGGCACTGAAGACTCGAGGAGGAGCCGGCCCTTCAGGTCTGGATGCAAACGGTTGGAGTCATCCTCAGCACAAACAAGTTTGGCCCTGTAGCAAGCGATCTCTGCACTGCCATTGCCGCCCTTGCAAGAAAGCTTGCATCCTCTTGCTGCCATCACCTCCAGGCCCTGACTGACCTGTACTCCTTCATCCCCCCTGGAAAGAAACAGGATGTGAGCCTATAGGGGTAGGCGCCTCGAACTGGTTAACTATAACGACCGTGAGCGATGAATTTCGATCAATAAACAGAATTTACAGATACCCATTGCTCTAAGTACGTTGCGTGATAGAAGGTTGCCTCCCCAATGCGTGTGTGACCACCCTGCTGGCGGCTTGAAATCCACGCCATGGTATGCAAGAAGGGGCTTCATATACGCAGGGGCAGGTAAAGGATCTCACAACAAATATATTGAAGAATGCTGCTGAGATGTCATGGTAGACCGACCTCGCCACTGGATAGCGAGATCTTCAACTTTGCGGACTTTCAAACCCTCTAACGAAGCCCGTGTTGACGTCAGTGCTCGAGGATTCTGGACGCGGGGACAGTGAGCCTTCTTCGACATCAGGATTTTTTATCCCATGGCCGCATGTCACCGTAACCTAGCTCTCGATGCTGCACACAGGAGGAACGAGAACGACAAGAGAAGGGCATATGGGGAGAGAATCCAAAACGTTGATCAAGGCAGCTTCACTCCTCTAGTGTTCACAACCTCTGGTGGGATGGGACCAAGTGCAAGATGTTTCTACGCCAGACATGCGGAGGTGATCTCTGAACAGAAGCAGCAGCCCAGAAGT